AGCCCATCGGAAGGATGAGTTGCTGCTCAGGGCCGGGGAGAATTCACTACGCAAGGATCTAGGGACAATGGGATGCCCAGTATCACCTTCAGGGCCAGATTCTTAGCTCCAGAAGACAAGGGTTTTATCTGTGTTTCTCTTCACTGCATCTCTAGCAGCTCCCGCAGTGCTGGGCACATTACAGGCACCCAGGGAAAGTTCTTTGAATCAGTAAATGGACATGCAGGCAGTGCATGTGTGGACAGGCTGTTCGACCCCTGCTGGGGCAGCTTTGGTCTTGGTTAAGAACAGTCCTGCTAGACAGTGCAGAGTGCATGGTGGAGGCAGATCCCTCTGCTCACAAGACAAGCATCCCTCTGGAAAACACCAGCAGCCCCTCTTTGTACTAATATCGCTCCTCAGAAGGAAGTGTTAGTGTTGGGAGCAAACTAATGAAGCCAATTTCTAACAAGTGTTTTTATTTTTTCAGTCTCAGCCGAAGATGACAAGTTACCGACCGTCATATCAGGTGGGACAGTGATTTCATCACTAGCCCTGTAGATACAAAGCCTTACCATCCAGATGGTGCAGATGGGAGGTGCAAGGATGGTCACGTCACTAGGTTATAGTGTCCTCCGTGAGGTCATCCGAGATAATCAGCACCCACGATGAATACTACGGTTCTTAAAACTTTTGCCCCATTCTTCAGTGACTGATTTTAGTACTGCTGAGCCCCCGTGTAAAGAACCTGGAGTTGCTGGAGGGTTTGAAGAGGGGCAAGGCATTTGCGGGGCAGCAGGTTCACATTCAGGAGCTTTATTTATCTACAGTAAAAATCATGTAGTTCAAAGAAATTTGATAAATGTATAAATGATAAAACTGTAACCATTACCACCATTAAGATATAGAACATTCTGTTACTCTAAAGAGTGCTCTTGTGCGCCTTTGTAGTCGATTCCCTCTCTTGACCCCAGATCCTGGCAACCACAGATACGACTTCTGTTCCTATAGGTTTGCCTTTTCCAGAATATTGTATAATGTATTAAAACAATATGCAGCATTTTGTGTTAGATTTCCTTTCTTAGCATCATGCTTTTGAGGCTCATCTATTTAGTTCCATGTATCAGACATCCATCCTTTTGAGGGGGGCGGGACGGAGGTAATTAGGTTGGTTGGTTGGTTTGTTTATTTAACGGAGAACCTCATGCATGCTAGGCACATGCTCTACCACTGAGCTATACCCTCCCTCCAACACATCTGTCTTTTTTATTGCTGAGTAGTGTTCCACTGCATGGATGTACCAGAATTTATTTATTCACTTACCATTTCATGGATATTATTTCAGTTTTTTACTGTTGTTAATTAAGCCGCTAAAGACATTCACATGCAAGTTGCAAACTATTTTCCAGAGTAACTGTACCATTAGTCATGCCATCAGCAACACTTGAGAGTTACAGTTGCTCCATGTCCTTGTCAACAGTTTGGATTTCCTGGGTTTTGTTCGGTCATTATAGTCTCTCCACTATAATGAGGTAGTGATGTCTCTGTAGTTTTAATTTGCCTTTCCCTAGTGATTAAAGATACTGAGGACATTTTCATGTGCTTATTTGGATCTTTTCTTTGGTGAAGTATCCGTTCAGATCTTTTATTCTTTCATTTTATTCTTTTTTTTTTTATAAACTGAGTTGTTTGTCTTAATTGTGTTCTAAGACAAATCTTTATATATTCTGGGAACAAATATTTTCTCAGATACATGTTTTGAAAATATTTTTTTCTCAGTCTATGACCTAGCTTTTCATTTTCTTAGTATTTTTTGAAGAACAGAAAATTTAAATTTTAATGAGTCCAGTTTACCAAAGTGTTTTCTGAAATGAATTGTGCTTCTGTGTTTTATCTAAGAAATCTTCATTGAACCAAAGGTCTCACAGATTTTCTCCTGTTTTGCTCTAGAAGTTTCATAGTTTCAGGTTTTTCATTTAGCTCTGTGATCCATTTTTGTCGATTGTTTTTATCATGGTTAAGGTATGGTTCAAAGGATTTTTTTTCATATGGACATCTAATCATGCCAATGCCGTTTGTTGAAAAGAACTTTTTAACTTCACTGAAATACTCTGGCACTTTTGTCAAAAACAGAATGGTCTGTTTCTAAAGTCCTTCTTTTGTTCCACTGATTTATATGGCTGTTATTATGCCTATAACACGTTGTCTTGATTACTGTAGCTTTTAGAGTAAGTCTTGAAATCAGGTAATGTGATTGCTCCAACTCTGTTCTTTTTCCTTCTTTTACAAAACCGTGTTGGCTAACCTAGGTTTTTTGCTCTCAGAGATACAAAATTTTAGAATCAACTTGTCAATTTCTACCAAAAAAAGTCTGCTAGGATTTTTAATTTGGATTGAGTCTATAAATTTGAGGAAAATCAGCATCTTAACAGGATTGAGTCTCCTGATTCGTCAACACAGTGTATCACTTCATTTATATAGATCTTTACTTGAATCTCATCAATATTTTGCATTTTTCCATGTACAGATTTTACACATACTTATCAGACTTGTCCATAAGAATTCCATGATTTTTGATATTATTGTAAAAGTTATTTTTAAGTTTTTCTATTTCAGTATTTTTGTCGCTAGTGAGTTAATTTTTCCCAAAATAATCAAATATTTATTGAGTTGGAAATATTATCATAACTTTTTTAATTTATTTATTTCTTAGTTTATAAACCTCATCCTATCTGTTATCAGATCTCATTTCTAATTTAATAGACCAGGAAACTGATGTTCATTTGTACATAAAATGTGGTGGAATATGAGTTAGACCCAAGGCTAGAGCAATCGCATCTTTAGGCTGGAAATGCACTAAGCCCTTTGGACCTGACTTCTTGTAATTCACAAAGAGATACCAGGGATGGGTCTGGAGGGCAGACAGCACTCCTGCCACTCAGCTTTAGTGTTTCTATTGATGTGTTTCGTACATTAATCACTAATGGCTGTTTTCTTTTCACTGCAGCTGCTGAACTAACAATTGCACCCATCACCTCTGAGGAAGAACAAACACCAATAGGTATGAAAAATGCAGCTTTTTTGAGTTTACATCGAAACCGTATATTCTATGTATTCAAGTTTACAAGTTACTTCATACTTCTAGAAATAAGAACAAAAATGGAAATTTGATAACAAACATTGCTAGGAGTTTCCAGCTCCTATCAGGGTCTTTGAGGTAGTCAAATAAAGATGTTTCTCAGACTATGCTCCCAGAACCACTTGTTCAGTGAGGTGTTAAGATGAATCACACGCACAGATTCTGTATCCCACGAATTTAGGAAGCATTACATTAAATAAATTAAACAAGTTTCTTTACTACAGGATGTCTAGGAGCCTTAATATTCACTTAACTCTAAGAAATCCCTGCAGGAAGTCATAGGATGTCATGCTTATGAAATACACTTGACCCAAATCCCCTTTTCTTCATGTACCATCTGTTGGGAAGTTTTCTGCCTAATATGAGTAAGGAAAATGTGAAATCCAGGTGTTTGGGATTAATGCATATGCCACCATGATATTCTAATCCGATTAAAATACTTAGACCCTTATCTCCCTGCGTGTGTAAATTCAAAGTGGCTATCATCCAGTACCCGTGCCTGAAACGAGTTCTCCCCTCCTCCTCCACCTGCTGAAGTCCTGCCGCAGCTTACTGCTCCACTTCTCCAGGTAGCATCCTCTGGTCTCCATAAGAGACGTAGCCTCTGTATTTGCATCCTCTCTGTTGACGTCCCTCATCATCTACTTATTTTCACAGTTAGTTGTACACTCATTCTAGCCTCTGACTGAGCTATAAGCCTTTAAAATGCAGGCACTTCCTTTGCGTTGAATACATCATTTTGAATGAATGATAGCACACAGTGTTATTAATTTGTAAAGACTGCCTTCATTTCCTTTAGGTTTTCTTAAATATGATGTTCTTAAATTTGCCTTCTATTTTTTAAAGCTTTACTTCTACTGAGCCAAAGATTTAAGGATATGTTTGCCATGAACATATAATAGAGGAGGGAAAAATTAAACAGTCTTCTTTGATGGTGATGATAACTGACTCAGATGAATCAAAAGAAAACAAAAGGCGTCAGTAGGGTCTTTTAACGAGTCCTTCCAGCAGCGCATCTACTTTATTCTTTCCACTTTACGGATGGATGGTGACCTAGCTTTGTTGTTCCTTCTCAGAACCTTCTCTGGCCGCAGCCCCTAACGGCTTGGCACATCCACTTGCAGGTATGGGAGCAGTTCCTGAGAAACTAAGGGCTAACGGGGAGCATGGAGAGGGGCCTTTCTCCAGGTTAGAGGGAAACCATAGGCAGAGTTAAGTGGGAGATAGCCCACTCACAAGCTGTGGGATTCAGAGTGATTTTCTTGACCTTTCTGAGTCTCAGTTTCTTCATCTGTAAAATGGGAACCCATCCCCTACCCCATGGGGTTGCTGTAAAGAGTAAGAGAAACGGTTAAGCTAGTGGCACTAAACCCCCAAGCAACAGATGCTAGTTCTGGTCCTCAGTCTCCTTTACATAGTAAAGGCATTAAGACTTATGGGAACAAAGGGAGCTAGTTGCTCTAAGACTCATATAATTCTGGATGACATGGGGCCTGTTCAGCTGTGATCTGCCTATGGATGATCTGGTTTCCTGTTTCATTAGAGATACTGACATCCCGTGTTTCTGTCCCTGTCCATGGTAGGGGAATAAGAGAGCTTCTTGTTAGGAGAACCTAGGAATTCTGGGAGTTCCTGAAAGAGTTTCACCTTTTGGAAGGGGAGATAAAGTCTCACTGAAGAGACTTGAAACTGAAGATTATTCTGCCTGTTTTCACTGTGTGGGGACATGAAGCCTGTGTGATCTTGTATGTTCGTAAACTGGGGATATAACCAATGAAGGACTTAAAAAGATGAAGGAAACCTTCCAAAGATGGGAAGGCCAGTCCCCCATTTCTCTTCTTGTGCCTTCCCAGGAGGCTGGGTGGCCGTGAGGCTGGTGGATGGCCCAGGACGGTGCTCAGGCCGCGTGGAGGTGCTCATCCAGGGCACGTGGGGGACCGTGTGTGATGACCTCTGGGACCTGGCCGAGGCCAGTGTTGTGTGCCGCCAGCTGCAGTGTGGCCAGGCCGTGGCGGCCCCCCCGGCGGCCCACTTTGGTGCAGGCTCTGGGAAGATAGTGCTGGACGATGTGCAGTGTGCGGGTAGCGAGAGCCACCTGGGGCAGTGCGGGCACAGGGGTGAGGCTGGGCACGACTGCGGGCACCTAGAGGACGCCGGCGTCATCTGTGCAGGTGAGGGGCTGTCCTCTCCCAGGAAGTTGCTTGTATGCCCCTTCAGAAAATGTCAGCCCCTGTTCCCACCAGTTGTTAAGCAGTTTACTGAATAAGCCTTGTACCATAAGCCTTATTATAAGAAGTCTGCTGATATCTTTCACCCTCAGGTGCTGACGACCCTCCGGCCCCCACTCCTGCCCCAGGGTCAGAAGCCACTTCCTCAGTGTACACGCCCACAGGTAAGATCCTCCCTGCTTCTTACATTTGCTTTCGGTTCCAGTCACCCTCTAGAAGACGCTTTCTCAGTCTGTACTGTTGTAAGGATATTTAAGGGATAGCAGATACCCAGTTCCTCTTTGCTGTGCAAGGACTGCTGATAAGAATAGAAGAGGGCAGGACATTTCTCAACATGAGATGCTCATTCATCAGCTAAAATTTTGAGTGTTTCTTTCCCTGTTGGTGTTATTTCTAGAAATCCGGATTATATCCCACTGATTCAGGAGTTCAATCTGTTGTTAATTCATCAATCTGAAAAGGATTCAAAGAGTTTGAAAGCATTATAAAAAGCAGCGTATTTGTACACCCATCAGGTGCTGGTAGTGGGGTGGGCTCCCTCAAGTTGATGTTCACAGAGCCTACGAGGATGAGGAGGCAG